TTCCACTTATTGGGAAAGACGCCAGTTTTAATTGACGTATTGTATATTTCTGCTAGTGGTACAGATAGGAAAAGACCACATCTCAACCAAAATATTGGAGGTATATCGTCAGGCCCGGCACCCTTACATGTGTCTACGTTTAATAGCTTTTTACAGACCGTCTCAGGTAGGAAGAAAAGTCATTTATGGGTAATATTGGGGTTGAGGTAACGGGCAGATTGCTAGTCGGCTCATCTCGGTCATGGCTAGGTGGAGCAAAAACTGAGAACTGTTCAGCGAATAAGTTGGAAATGGCCTTATTATCATACGTAGCATACATTATTGAGGGACATTTTTGAAGGGTAAGATGTACTAATACCTCTTCAGAGGTTTTTTAAGTGAGACCAAAAGAACTGGGATGCTTTTCTATTTTGTTCTCAATTTCGCATATGTAATCATTATAGCATTTACGAATAAGTCTTTCACAGTCTCTTCTGAGATAGGTAAATTCAATTACATCTAATGATTATTATGTTTTTTCACTTTAATGCGTATCTTCATTCTTTGCCTAAGCAGTTCTTTTAATTGATTTGTATACCATAGAGGATATTTTCCTCTTCTGGATACCATTTCAGGCACGTGTTTTTTAATTATGTCCTCAACTATAATGTAGAACTTGTCTAACATATCGTTTACGTCATTGCAAGGTATAAATTCGCGAGTCCAATCTATGTTTTTTAGTGTTCCGGTTATGGTCTCATAATCCGCGTTGTGGTAATTGCGCTTACTTATTAGTTTAGAGGTGCTTTTATGTATTGAAGGTAGAGTGACCGTGAGTTAAAAGGCTGGGTGATACTTGTCAATTTCCCTTACAGGATCTAGGCAGATATTTATTTGAAGTTGAAAAAGATCAGAAAACACTAAGTCTAGTGTCCTATTTAGGAAGTTTTTAATCCAGTTAAATTGTTGTAGATTATTAAATGCCATGAAATCAAGTAAAATACTTTTAAGAGTACCAGTGCCACTTGTTGAGACGCAACATGAGTTCTCAGCTGCATTACTCATCCAATCGACAACGCTCAAGTTAAAATCGCCTATTATCAGTGTGGAACTGTCACTATTAGTGTCCATAACTGAATTACATTTTTCAGTAAAATATTCAAAAACATTTGGGCTAACGAGTGGAGGTAAATAAATACCGCATACTTTTAAATATTTTTAAATACACAAACCTGTATCCTAGATTTTTTGCTCTCGATCGTGTCGCTGCATAAAGAGCCCTGTTCTCCGGGGACAGATGCTCAACGACGAAGATAGGTGCAGGTTTGTCAGTAGCTATACCAAGATGACCCGAGTTCAATTTATTTCCTGAATTAGTGTTATTGTATTCAATGGACGCCGCCAAGAAGGTATCTCTTATCCGAGGACTATTGAATTTAACGAGAACCGACCTCGGTCGTGAATTATGTTTATCCCTTTTGGCTATTCTTGTGCAATGTTGTATGTCCGTGTCCCTTAAATCGCATTTGATTTCTTTCTTTTTCGAGGTTTAGTATTTTTGCGGACTTGTCATCTAATGTTGACTTTATTTCTTCATATTTATCAATAAAGAACGTCAAAGACTGCCTAAACTCGGAGTCCAGTTCGTTGATCTTGTTGAACTGTTTGTCAACCAGCCCTGCAATAGTGTCCTGCAGGGCTTGGTTGATCTCTTGTCTTACTCGTATCATTTCTCTCAGGGAACTACTTCTAGGGCACCAGGGACTTCCTTTCTAGGGTATACCTGGTTCCCCGGCTATTAGTACCCGGCGAAGGCGTGCGGTTTTAGTCGGTTCGAGTCCGACATGCCACCGACAGGAGGTATCCGAGGGGATTGCCGCACGGAAAAAGAAAAAAAAAAAAAAAAAAAAGGGAACTACTTCTAATATCTGCCAACAGCATGTAGTTTTCATGGTCCTAGAAGCTAGTTTGGTGCAGTGCCTTAGTTCGCAGGGTAACATTAGAGGGTCCAGTAGAGGACGGCTGCGACAGTTGGCTGTTTCCTTTACGACTGCACTGCCTTTCCGACCGAATTGGAGTGTTAGTATTACCAATTTTCGGCTGTTTGTTGATACATCCAGGGCATTTCCATGCTTTTTATGAGTCCATATTCATTAACTTAAATTTCCTCTCAGATATATTTGCGCATAGTAAATCATACCATTCTTGACAGCATAGGCATTGCAATTCCCTTTCGAATGTTGACATTTTTGCGACGAGTCGGGTAGCACAATTCAAAAGTTTAACGTAGGTAATGCAAAACAATTACAGTTGGCAGTGAATGTTCTGCAAAACGCACATAAAGCAATACAAACACAAGCGGCGCACGCAAAAGTCATAAACGCCATGTAATGCGCGTCGCTTACGCATTTATATCGATGGGTGTCACCCGTCACTCAACACTTGCTGCAAACTATTTTTAAAGTAGAAATTGTATTTTTGTTTTACACCTATTACACTGGAATAAAGAACTAGTAACTTCAGCACAACCGTTGCCAATGAACACTTACTCAGTTTATGCACAGAAGTAGAATAAAAACGGCACTCTGAACTGACTTATAACAATATTTATCAAGATTTTAGCTAATTGTATCGGATTACAGAGATATATACACAAGAAATTAATAAATGAGATTACAAACCGAACACGTCCACAAATGGAAACAATGTTACGCAATTATTAATTACTAGCTGACCCGCGCAACTTCGTCTGCGTCTCTCAATAGTCATAAATTTTCTCCGCCTTTGAAACATTCTTCATTGGTGCTCCGCTCCTATTGATCTTAGCGTGATGATATATAGCCTATAGCCTTCCTCGATAAATGGGCTATCTAACACTGAAAGAATTTTTCAAATCGGACCAGTAGTTCCTGAGATTAGCGCGTTCAAACAAACAAACAAACAAACTCTTCAGCTTTATAATATTAGTATAGATTTTATGTTTGTTACCTCAGAACTGTATCTGTGAACCGATTTCGAAAATTATTTTGTTTATCTGGACGGGTATACTTCCCGTTTGGTACCTTTGAAATTTGAAGGAAAACTACTAACCCTTATGGTGGAATGAGCACAGTATATTACGATTCATCATGAAGTCGGTGATACTTTTATAAAAGTTAATTATTTATTATTCGATAAATTGCTGCAGAAGGGATGCTTTACTGTAAGAAAGTAAAAGGGAAAGAAAAGTAAAATGAAAGCACTGCGCTGATATGATTTGGAAATGGGTTGGTTGGTACAGCCATTGATACGGAAATACAGGAATCCATCGAGAGTACAGGTAAGATTGGTCGTGGTTATTATTACAACTTCCTGACATTTTATTACTGCAGTAGTAATAAAATGTCAGGAAGTTGTAATAATAACGTTTTTATCTTTATTGTTAAGCCGGTTTCAGCACGAGCACAGTATTTAACGAATAATAATACTCTATAAAAGAAATATGGGATCCCTTGGATTCGACAAAAAAAATGGTCCTAATTTAATTTGGCATAACGAGAGTTTTTTTTTTTGTCATACTTTGATATAATTGTTTTTTGGCATACTATTTCAATAAGACTAAATATCATTTAGGCTAATGTTTTTGTCGGTATATGTCGGTTAATTATACGTATTTATTTATAATTTCCATGCAAAATATACAAGTATATATGGTCAAGGCGATTATGTCGTTTAGGTGTCCACTAGCTTACAGAAACTGAAACGGTAGGTAAGGTTAATATTGCGACCATGGAGCAAATACAAAGAGGTGTTGACATTAGATTTCCCTATGAAACATCGCGTGACAATTTGCGGGGTCGGGGGTGTTTAGCTCAGCCCACTTCACTTTTTTCCATCTACCAAATAATAGCAGAACGACTTGCATCATTGATATCGATGTTGCTATTTAGTTTAGCTATGTCACACTAAGTGTTGGATGTGAGGAACGTACTCAGAATTTTCGTACCAGTGTGTTATTTTTAAGATTAATTTTCTGAACCATCTTGATCCTCACTTGTATTGCAAAAATCTTACTCATATTATAATAATGGGTATTGCTAGTGTGAGAATAAAAACGTTTGTAGTAAATTACGAATGACGATTAAAATTTGTTCTCTTATTTATTATTTTATTTATATTTATGTGAACGGTTTATCTTATTGTCACCCCACTATGGAGAAAAAGAGTGATATGATTTTCACCCATATTTAATATTTTTGAGGAAAGACAAACAATAAACAAGTTATGATAATGAATGTAATTATATTTAGAAATTAAATAAAATTAAAATACTTTATTTCAAATTAGGCATCTCAATGCACTGAGTAAAAACAATTAATGAAAAAAAAAACGATACAATAACCAAAGCTTTCAATTAGTAGAAAAATACTTTAAATATACATGGACTATTTACTTTTATGGCGACTTATTTTACTCATAAATGACTATTTCTTGAATTGACATTTACAAACGATTAGGATACCTAAGTAAAAGTATGCCATGTTGAATTATGTCATACATATAATCTTATGCGAATAAATAGGGAACCAAGAAATAAGGCGTCTGAGATAAGCAAATGAACCTCGAGAGGTCAGGTTACTTTTGATTTTTCATAAATAAACCGGTCCCACGCAAGTTTATTGTATTATCTATTTCATATAAGATTTGTTTGCATCTTGTTTTATGGTTGGAGTAATTTTGCGAACATTGAAAACTGAATAATACTTTACTTAAACAAGATTTTAAGCAGTTTTTTCTTGGAATACTTAAAACAAAAAGGGAACTAAAATAGGACTCTAAATGAACAATAGATTGAACACATGACAACGGCACTGTGGAAATTTAAATTACAAGAAGAGATATCAACAAAGAGATTTCTCGACGAAATTAGTGTGTCCTGTGATATGCTTAATCTTTTATAATGCCATTTGAGTAAGCCATACCTCGGTTTTATGAATTGTTAGACATTGTAGAACTGAATCTTTCATTTAAATCATCTGTACCTAATCTTTTACTAACACAAAAATAAGGTAGTAAATTAAAACTAACCTGTCTCTTTCTCTGCTTCTGCTTCGTTTCCTATATGATCCTTCTGTAGAGCCATCGTCTAGACGTCGACGCTTCGCTTCGTACGATCTAGACCGCGACCTCGAGTGTGAAGTGTAGTGCTTCCTTCGAGTGCGTGGCATCTGGAAAAAGATATCAACAATCTCTTTATACAAGTAATATAACCACACAAAAATAAACACTAGCATGACAGAGATTGTTTATGTTAGTTATGGTAATTGGAAACTAAAACTGAACATCAACTCTGATGAAAATATTACTTTTATTGATTCATAAAATTCAAAATTATTAACTAAAAAAATAAGTTTGAATTTAAAGGCCAAATAGTTTTTAAAATTGTTCAAATATAAGTCTGTCTTCAAATGTTCCATCGTCAGAATTATAATCTAAGTGAAAGTTACTGAGATTTTTTTTCAAGTTAGATTTTAGTCTATTATTATCTATTTATTTGAAGTTAAATGACGTTAGACGGGTTACTGATTTTATTTAGGTATGACAATATACATACAAAGTTGATAAAGATTTCAGATAAACAAGCTCTTTCAATTTAAGGTTTTGTATTCCAAAATGCAGAAATGAGATCATTTTTAGCTACATATTTGTTTGTTTTGTACCTTTGCAGTAGATAAGGTTGGAAAGGGGAAAGGCTGATAATGCTAAAAATGTTAACATAACTGGTTGATGACAAAAGGGAATTTGTGCTTTAATCATAAGCATGGCTATTGCTGTATGCTGTGGAAGCACATATTTGTTTGCTAAATAGTTCTTAAACAGCAATATAATGAAATGGCTATATAATAACAATGACTTGTATTATTATGTTATAGTTTTTATCTGGTTAAAATATATATTTTTTAAGTCTTTCTAGAAGTTTCCACACAGTTAACATAAATGTCATTTACAGATATTTGCTTAACATATGATAGGATAACAGATTATACACAAATTAATTGGCATTGAAGTAATAATTTTACTAATATATTTCTACTACCAAATAATATTCAACATGAATTGACAATCACCCAACCTTGACAATATGTGATATGTATGTATTATGGGTAAGATGCAGTATTATAGTCAGCACTTTAATTAATTAAATTTCAAGAAAATAAACCATGAAAATAAGATACTAAATAAGAAAAATCTTTTATAAATATTAGGTTAACAAATCTTCGATTAATATGAAGAATATTTAGCTATTGCAAAAATTGAAAATGATACCGACAAATTAGTGCAATATGTTTTTGAATGCATTTACAACTATTGATACTTTGAAGAAAATTCATATTTTCATGGTATAAAGATTTTTATATTAACATAGCATTAAGCCATTCCATAAACAAACCAACATGCTAATATGACTATCAAAAATAAGTACACATAATATTGTTACTTAAAACTTATTTTTGACAGTCATGCTGTAGGAAAGTACGTTAAGTACTTCCACTTACCATATGAAAGATACCAAAACTCGTATCCAAGAGGTTTAAGCTGAAAAACATAAACTTTTTAAGCTGTTGACAATAAGTCATGGGTGCAAAGTAGAAACTGACTTCACACTAACATGCACTCTGAATAAGCATAAATTTGGAAAATAATGGCAGTAGGTATGATCTAAAATTTAGGAAGCTTGACTCATTATCATGATAACTTATTTTCGGTATAGCCTATTACACTCATGGCTTGATCTGGAGTTTTGCATTAGTGTATTTAATAAAAGCAGTATGAAAACCTAAACACTTCGATTCAATACCTAATGATAAAATGACTTCAGCTCTAATATTATTGTCTTAACATAGCCAAACTAGTCACTGGCATATGCCTGGCAAAACACAGATATCAGTATTGACTTGCAACAGTGATTAGCAAGTCAAGAAGACATCATTGATTTGATAAAAACAGTTCCTTATCAGCTTTCAATAACTTATAGGATTATAGTGTAAAAGTAGTCATAACACTTTAACTAAGATGGTAAATTGAGTACAAATCACTGGCGGCACTACAGAATAATAAAGAAATGACCCATGCTACGAGATTTCAAAACATCAGTTCGACAATTTTATCGCTGATGCAAATACTAATCATACGTATCTGCAATAACAATGCGTAAACTAAAACTGGTGCTCAACTACACATATTTAAATCCCTCTGATTAAAACTAAATAACAGTGTTCAGAATAACTGACTAACTTACTCATGTGGACAAATCGTAAATGTCAAGTTATTTACATTATACATGCTGACGCCATGTTGGTTTCTATACAACTCAGTTGGGGAGCCCTAAGTACACAATATGATAGATAACCACATCCATTTAAAACTTACCCTCAATTCACGTATATATTTCAATTTACACCAAAGCAGATGAGTGAAATTAATTAGATAGTTCCACGTTCGCGATGCAGAACCTTGAAGAATGCTTCTTCGTAATAAAGGCCCAAACATCGATCCGAATCCAAGACAGATGCTTGTTGGTTGGTTGAACGCAGCGCGATGGCGTAAATCGTAACTCAAGTTTCTCTTCCGGTTTAACAAAAATAATAATTAAGTATATTGACTACATCTTAAAATATAACATGAAACACTGAAAATTATAGAAATTTCCACTTCACTATTGATTGAAAATAATACTAATTTCTTATAAATTAAATATAAAATGTAATTAAATGACTTATATTTGCAGGAAGCTATCATACTGCTGCCATCTAGCGACTAATGTGGTAAGACTTGTGACACGGCTTTGATACTACCAACATTACAAGTTATAATGACACGTTCCTGATTCAGGGTAATGGATGTAGGTGTCGTTCATAAAATTGTGTATTACGTTCTACATAATAAAATATAATATCCTAAACAATGAGGTAAATTAGTTAAAAAAATAGATAATTTAGTTAAATTACGTCAATTTAACAAATGTGTTTTTTATTTTATTTACTAAACGATATTTTTTGCAGTATTCATAACTAGAATTAATAGAGTTTTGAAGAAGTCTGAGAGAAGAGCTATCCTTAAGTTTTAAGTTAACGCGTCCGTAAGTCGCGGCTGGTACTGCTTCGGCTAATGAATACCTAATCAGATGAAATATAATATGCACCATTAGTAATGAATGTATAATTCAGCGTTTTTTTTTAAATAATAAGGTTTGAAAGTTACTCAGGAGTTTTATGTTTATGTTTCGTCTACTCATCTCTTTATGTTAGGGCCATCCATAGAGGGGTGCGTGGTCCGGAACCTCCTTGTGGTGCACCCTGGGCAACGGAGACGGCAGCGCCTCTCTCCCTAGGTGGGGGAGGCGCTGCCGCCTGCGGCCAATTCCGGCCGAGGTAGGAACGGCCCGTCAAGGGCTGTTCGGAGGGCTGCTCTCCGCGTGTCCCTCTGTTTGGCAGAGGGCATAGGGGAGAGCAGGCTGGGGGCGGACGGGTCCACTGCAGCTGGCTCTGTCCAGAGGTGGGGGACACTGGTCTGACGCAGACCACCGTCCGGCCATGTCGTAACCCTGACTGGCAACGGTCAGGAATGACGGCTCTTCGAGGGCTACGAGGAAGGCAACCTCTATAAAAAACCCTGGGGCGGACGGACCCGGTCTGGTGCAGACCCCGTCCGGCCTGAATGGACAGGACCGGTGGATCTTCAGATCCGCGACGTAAACCTCTATAAAAAATGCTCTAAGCCCACGCTCTGACGCCTGGCAAGGGGCTGAGTCGCTGGAGGGAGTCCAGTGCCGAAGGCGTCCCCGTCGAAGGACGTTAAACTAAAAACCATGACATGAGGCCAAGGATTATTAAATCTACCCAGGAGGGTTCCGGACACACAGTGTCTGGGGAATCCCTCCCGGAGCCAAACGGCTCCGGCAGCTCCCACTCGTATTCTGGGGGGAGCACCAAATGTCGAATCTGCCCGTCGCCGAGCAGTAAATCCGGCGACGTTATCGCGGAGGACGCGAAAAACCTGGAGGTAGTGTCGAACACCGACACTGCCTCGGAGAGGAGCGGAGCGAGTACCCCTATGGTCTCAGCTGCGGAGCAGCACCAGAAGGGTACTCCAAAGCGCAAAAGGCGCTCGCTTCGCCTGGGCCTGAAGAGGCAATTGGAGTCGGTCTCGAGCGATGAAGCCTCGGCTCCCAAAGTCGGCACAAGCCGCAGAGGCGCTCGCGGCGGAGGCCGACTCCCCAAGGCCATGGTGGGCCGGAAGAAGGTGGCGGTCCAGTCCGCGGCGCTGGGAGGAGCCGAAGATGGGGGTCTGGGACGGAGAAGACAGGAGGGGGTCGCGTCCGAGATGTCGACCACTGATGTGGGGAGCGGGGGTGGGGGTGCTGGCCTCGTTGAGCTGCGAGGCAAAACCGGCAACCCCGTCGACCGGATCGAGGAGGCAATCGGCACGGCCGATTGCTTGCTTCAGACGTCCGGTGTGGCCGGGGGCCCCCAACAGGAGGCCCTGGTAGCGGTCGTGCGCTCCATAATCGAGGCGGGCAGACTCCTTGTGGCCGAGAGCAGGGCCCACGCTAGGAAGAGAGCCCGCCTCGAGGCGGATCTCGCCAAGGCTCGTGCCCACGCTGGTGCCACACTAGCGCCTTCGGCACCGTTGGCACTGTCCGCCCCGGAGCCGGAGCCGGGCTTAGTCCGACTCATGGCGGAGATGGAGGAGCGGATAATGAGGCGCATCTCCGCAATAGAGAGCGCCCGTTGTCGCCCACCTCTGGCTCCGCCAAAGGCGACATATGCGGCCGCTGCCAAGGTGGGCCTAACAGCCCAGCCAGCAACTAGGGTGGCTGGGCCGTCATCAGCGCCCCCGCCCCAGAAGACCGGAAAGGGCAAAGAGAGGGGGAAGGTGGCCCCCCTCCAAGCCCCAGTCTCGGCCCCGGCTGACACCGCACAGCGCCCGTTGGAACGGGGCTGGACGGTAGCCGGGGAGAGTAAGAAGAGGCGGAAGGCCGCCAAAAAAGCGGCCAAGAAGGCGAGGAGGGACGCCGCCGCCGCTGCGAAGGGAGCGCCGAGGAAGCTCTTCGAGGAATCACTTTGACGGCGGAGGCAGCGGAGAGGGGCGTGGGGTACGCCGAGGTCTTGACGAAAGTCAAGGCCAACGTGGACCTCAAAGCCCTCGAGATTCCGGGCGTCCGGTGTAAAAACACACGGACGGGAGCCCGGCTCCTCGAGGTCGCCGGCGCTACCAGTGGCCCCAAAGCCGACGCCCTAGCGGCTAAGCTGAGGGAGTAACTGGATGCAGCTGACGTCCGAGTGTCCAGACCCACTAAATGCGCAGAAGTTCGCATTACGGGCCTGGACGACTCTGTCACGGCGGACGAGCTCAGACTCGCCGTGGCGGAGACGGGAAGCTGCCCTCTGGACAGCGTGAAGGCCGGAGCAATACGCTTCGGCCCCGGTGGACAGGGGTCAGCGGTTGTCAGCTGCCCCATCGCGGCGGCCCAGAAGGAAGCCGATGGACGGAGCCTCCTGGTCGGAGGTTTTCTGAGGGCGCAGGCACGACTCCTGCAGGCCCGACCGGCAAGGTGCTTCAGGTGCCTGTCGGTGGGGCACGTAGGGGTGCACTGCACGGCGGAGGCCACCGTAGGTGACCGATGCTTCCGCTGTGGCCAGCCCGGTCACAAGGCGGGTGGCTGCAACGCTCCGCTGCGTTGCTTTAGGTGCGCAGCGGGGGGCAAGCCTGCCGACCATCGGGTTGGTGGTAAGGCCTGTGCCCTATCACGACCGAAGCCGGGAGGCCGACCTTCCGCCTCCGAGCCGCTGATCCAGACGGAGAGTGCCGCTGGACAGCCGCAAAGTTCGCTGCGGGATGCGGGGATGGAAGTCCAGTGATGGATCCACATCTCCGCATCCTCCAGGTGAACGTAGGCCACGGTGCCGATGCTCAGGATCTTCTGCTCCAGAGCATGGCACAGTGGTCCATCAACATCGCCGCTATCGCCGAGCCATATGTCCATCGGTTTCTCGGGCCTGCCTGGGAGACCGACTTGGACGGCACGGCGGCCCTGGTGCACGGTACCGCAGCCGGCACTCCACCTCTTGCGGTAGTTGCAAGGGGACGGGGCTGTGTAGCGGCGATAGTTGGAGACATAGCGGTCGTGGCCGCTTATTTCACGCCGAACCGAAACCTAACTGAGTACGAGCAATGGCTCGCTCAGCTGGCCGTCGTCGTCGATGCCTGTCGCCCCCACCCGGTTCTTGTGCTGGGGGACTTCAACGCCTGGTCGCAGGCTTGGGGTTCCCTGCGCACGAACCCGAGGGGCAGGGCATTGGAGAACTGGGCTGAAAGATTCGGCCTAGTTCTCCTAAACCGGGGGGCCGTGTCCACGTTCGTGACGGCGAGGGGTAGTTCGATCGTGGACATCTCGTTCGCATGCCCCTCGCTAGCGCGTCGTATCCAAGGCTGGCGCGTCGTCGTCGGGGAGGAGACAGGTTCGGATCACCGATATATTCGGTTTGACGTCTCCGCTCCTACAGATGGCGCGCCGGTTAGACCGGCACCATCTGAACCACGTTGGGCGCTCAAGCGCTTAGATCGCGACCTCCTCCTGGAAGCCGCCATCGTACAGGCCTGGGCTCCTGCGCCGGACAGGCCTGTCGACGTCGATGCTGAAGCACAGTGGTTCCGGGAGGCCATGACCCGCGTCTGCGATGCGGCGATGCCTAGGGCTCAGCCCAATACTGCGAGGCGCCAGGTCTACTGGTGGTCGCCGGAGATCGCACGGCTACGTCAAGCCTGCGTGACCGCGCGCCGCCGGTGGTCCAGGTTCCGCAGGAGGCGTCGCCGCCCCGAAGATGCGGCAGCGAGAGAGGCGGAGCTGTTAGCGGGTTACAGGGTTGCCAAGAGGACCCTTCAGGCAGCGATAAAGCGGGCCAAGAGTGAGGCCCGCCGCGAGATGCTGGAGACACTGGAGCGGGATCCGTGGGGACGCCTCTACCGTATGGTTAGGGGCAAGATGCGCCCATGGGCCCCGCCGCTCACACGGTGTCTTCAGCCAAAGCTGCTTGAGAGGGTCGTTGGCTCCCTGTTCCCAACGCTAGTGGTGGAGCATACTCCGCCACAGATGGCTCCACCTCCGGCGCTTGAGGCGCCTAACGTGGATGACGACGACGTGCCTGAGGTCACTGGGGTGGAACTAAGGGTGGCGGTGTTACGGCTTAAAGCCAAAAACACCGCCCCGGGACCCGATGGCATTCCTGGCCGAGCGTGGGTCCTGGCCTTAGTCGACGAGGCTCTCGAGCCCCGACTGCGAGGGTTCTTCAGCGCATGCCTCGAGCGGGGCCAGTTTCCGAAATTGTGGAGGACGGGGAAACTGGTCCTCATCCGAAAGGAGGGGCGCCCGGCGGACTCACCGTCCGCCTACCGGCCCATAGTGTTGCTTGACGAGGTGTGCAAGCTCTTTGAAAGAGTGATTGCAAGGCGCCTCGTCAAGCATCTCGTGATGGTTGGGCCGGATCTGG